ATAGAATATTCCAGCCGGGCGGTGGTGGTGCACACCTTTAATCCCAGCACTCGGGAGGCAGAGGCAGGCAGATCTCTGTGAGTACGAGGCCGGGCTGGACTGACAGCCTCTAATACAATACAGAGAAACCCTGTCTTGTAAAACCAAAAAAAGAAGAATATTCCAATAAATGTTTTATAAATAATGACTTCCACCTGGGGGAAAGGACTCACATAAATGACAGTACCTAATAGTTCCACCCAATATCCACGTTCAGAAAGAACCCATTTTGGTTTTTTTGTTGTTGTTGTTTTGGTTTTTCGTGACAGGGTTTCTCTGTATTGCTTTGGAGCCTGTCCTGAAACTCGCTCTGTAGACCAGGCTGGCCTCCAACTCACAGAGATCCGCTTGCCTCAGCCTCCCGAGTGCTGGGATTAAAGGCACGTGCCACCAGTGCCGAGGTAAGAACCCATTTTGGCTGAACCTACTGGCCATAATGTCAGCGCTCTGTGACCAGAAAAAATGAAGCTAAATACCTTAATAAAGCTTTTGTTTATTTGCTTTGTTGTTGAGACCTGGTCTCAATATATAAATAGCCCTGGCTAGCTTGGCCTCAAACTCATGGGTATCCTCTTGAATCTGCCTCCAGAGTACTGGAATTAAAGGCATGAACCACTATTTCTAGACTTTTTATGTTATTTAAACAAAAGTGAAATGCTGTATCCCCTAAACTCAAACATAGAAAACTTTCCCGATTTCTCACTTTGAGCTCTGTATGCTTCCTCTGTTCAGAACAAGGTGAGTAGCCGGGTGTTGGTGGTTCATGCCTTTAGACCCAGCACTCAGGAGGCTGAGGCAGGCGGATCTCTGTGAGTTTGAAGCCAGCCTGGTCTATAGATCGAGTTCTAGGACAGCCTCCAAAACAATACAGAGAAACCCTGTCTGGAAAAACCAACCCCCCCCAAAAAACATGGTGAGTGTGTGTGTGAGAGAGAGAGAGAGAGAGAGAGAAAGAGGGAGAGAGAGAGAGAGAGAGAGAGAGAGAGAGAGAGAGAGAGAGAGAGAGAGAGAGAGAGAGAGAGAGAGAGAGAGAGAGAGAGAGAGAAGCACTGCAACCCACAGTACGGAGTACAGAAGTCACAGGTCAACCTTGGGTAGTGTTTCACCTCTTTATGTTTTTTTTTTTTTTTTGGCCTGGGTCACTTGCTGACTTGAAGCTCCTCAAGTAGTCGGGCTGGCTGGCTAGTAAGCCCTAGGAACTCATCTGTTTCTGCTTGCCCAGGGCTGAAACCACATTACAGTTCCTCATGCCCAGTTTGCTGTTTATTTGTTTGTTTTCATGGATTCTAGGCATCAAACTCTGTTTATGCACGTCACTGACTGAATCCTCTCCCCAGCCCTTGAGTCTTACTTTTTATTTCCAGTTTTTTTTTTTGCTTATTATTGCTCTTTAGTCTCAGAAAAGATTAACACTTTACAGGAAGTGTACTTTGGGACTGCAGAGAGGGCTCAGCAGTTAAGAGCACTGGCTGCTCTTCCAGAGGTCCTGAGTTCAATTCCCAGCAACCACATTGTGGCTCATAACCATCTGTAATGATACCTGGTGTCCTCTTCTGGCATGCAGGCATACATGAAGGCAGAACAATGTATACGTAATAAATAAATACATAAATCTTTAGCAGATGCCATATAGATATAATCTCATATGAAGAGAAACTATGGAAGAATGAGATGTCTTTAAAAGGAAATAAAGAGTAATAAAAGAAATCTTCCATATAAAGATTTTTAATCAAATTATTATTTTTTAGAATACAAAACTTTAATTGTTAAAAGGAAAGAGAAAAAAACAGCAAAGAAGACAGTAAGATAAAACACCAAGAATAAAGAATTCTTCTATATAGATTTACTGCATATGTAGATTATATGTATGGGTTGAGTTATAACAAAAATACTCATGTAGTATAGTCAATTATCATACAGTTGGAAATAGGACTTTCCAAGCAAGTACAAATGGCTCAACACTTTCTCAGTCTTCAATTACATGATGTGTTAAAGCTTTGTAGCAGTCACTGCTGATGAGCAGTATCAAGTCAAATGCTTGATGAGACATAATTTTTTCCTGGTTCACTTGTAAAGACTGTGCCTTTTTGTAACATTCTACAAGTTCCTCCATGATGCTGAATTCCCGCTTCCCAAAGCAGTAAACAGTCTTTCTTGTAATCGTCCTATCTCCATAAAACTATAAACACAGGGCTAGAGAGATAGCTCAGGTTTAAGAACATTTGCTGTTCTTCCAGAGGACTGGAGTTTAGTTCCCAGCATTCATGTAAGATAGCTCACATCTAGCTGGGCATTGGTGGCACATGCCTTTAATCCCAGCACTCGGGAGGCAGAGGCAGGTGGGTCTCTGGGAGTTCGAGGCCAGTCTACAAAGCGAGTTCCAGGACAGCTTCCAAAACAATACAGAGAAACCCTGTCTCGAAAAAAAAAAGATAGCTCACATCTATCTGTAACTCCATTTCCAGTGGAATCAAGGTCCTTTTGTGGCCAAAATAAAAACTATTCTTAGAAACTGTAAGATATTTGGAAGAAATTAAATACCAAGGAAATTAAACTGCCAATCAACAAGAAATGGGCAAATAACTAAATAGCTTATAAAAAAAGAAACACAAATGACCAATAATATTTTTAAACATGTTCAATTCAATATTTCTAATCATCAGGGAAATACAAATTAGAACTACTTTGATATAGCACCTCAGCCCAGTCAAAATGACTGCCAAGAAATCTAACAATGAATGTTGGAAAGGATATGGAGAGACAGGAACCCTTCTTCACTGTTGCAAATTAATACAACCACTGCGGAAATTATTTTGAAATTTCTTTAAAAATTAAAAGATAAATAACCTAGCATGGTTGACACACACCTTTAATCCCAGCACTCGGGAGGCAGAAGCAGTGGATCTCTGCAATTTCCAAGCCAGTCTTGTCTACAGAGTGAGTTCCAGGACAGTCTAGGCTATACATTGAAACCCTGTCTCAAAAAACCAAAAGTTAAATAAATAAAAAATAGAACTACTATATGATTCAGGTATTTTGCTCCTGAGTATATACCCAGAGAACTTTGTAATCTACTATAGGGACATTTGTACCCCATGTTTATTGCTGTATTTATTACAGCAAAGAATTGAAATCAATCTAGTTGTCCAACAGATGAATGGATTATACACACACACACACACACACACACACACACACACACACACACACACACACGAATACTACTTAGCGCTAAAGAAAAATGAACTTAAAAATTTGCAGAAAAATGGATGGATTTTGAATCTATAATAGTAAGCAAGGTCACACAATCTCAATATAAAAAACACATGTTCTTTCTCATATGTAGAATCTAGCCAATAATCTATGTTCATGTGTAAATGAATGTGCATGTGAATATAGTATAGCATGTATAAAGGAGAATAAGAAAGACTAAATATTAGAGGATGATAAAGGATTTAATGTAGATAGCAGACATGAGTTATGAAAGAGGAGGTAAAGTTGTTTTTCTAGTTTTAATTCTGCTATGGACTTTTCTGGTTTTGGTAGTAGGCAAGTGCATAGGATACATTCAGTAATAAAGCTAATAAAAGTGTAAAATTTCTTGTGGTGCTCCACAGCTTCCACCTCAAATGTCTATCCTAACTATATTGAGTTGTCTAGCCTTTGTGTCTGCTTAATTTTAGTGTGTGGTGTTTTTATTTATTTGCTAGTTGTTATAATAAAGTTTTTAATACTTTATTTTTTATTTCATGTGCATTCGTATTTTTGTGTGCATGTATGCCTTTGTGAAGGTGTTTAATTCCCTGAAACCAGAGTTATAGGCAATTATGAGCTGCCATGTGGGTACTGGGAATTGAACCCAGGTCCTCAGGATTAGCAGGCAGTGCTCTTAACTCCTGAGCTATTTCTTTTTTTCTTTTTTTTTTTGTTTGTTTGTTTTTCGAGACAGGGTTTCTCTGTGGTTTTGGAGGCTGTCCTGGAACTCGCTCGGTAGACCAGGCTGGTCTCGAACTCACAGTGATCCGCCTGCCTCTGCCTCCCGAGTGCTGGGATTAAAGGCGTGCGCCACCAACGCCCGGCACTATTTCTCTATGTCAATAAAGATCGCTTTTGAAAAAAAGGAGCAAGAAAGTGCCCCACAGACTTGCCTCCAAGCTAACATGGTAGAGGCACTTTCTCAGTTAAGGATCCTTTCCCTAGATGTTTCTAGCTTCTAGCATACTGACAATAAATAAAAGAAAAACAAAGCAAAAACAACCAGTACAAATACTGTTAACATTTATCATTTTTCTTGTTTCAAAAGCTGCCCAAAATATTTTTGTGTTTGTAATAGTGTTAGGGATTGAACCCAGGGACTCACACATACTAAATATGGGCTCAACTCCTGAGCTATAACCTATCTACAAGTTATATTGTTTTATTATTAATTAGTTCCCAAGTTATTAGTTTTTTATCAGTTGTATATAAAACTATATTCTTTTAGTTTTTAATTTATTAGTTTAGACCTAATTTATCATTTCCCAAGTTGCAAGTGACTCAGAACATTTTATATTTGTAATCGTATTTCCTTTAAAACTATTTTGGATCCCTATGGAATTCTAAAGATCTTTGAGTCTAGATGGAATTGTGATACTGTAGGGAAAATGAAAGAAGGGATTATAGGATTTGCATAGAAGTAGGATTGTGTCAGATTTCCTGGGACAATTCTAGAGCTCCAGAAAGACCTTTTTCCTTTCCCCCAGGGCTAGAGTTAATCCTCTTCCCTTCCTATTTTCCCACTCCTAGGAGTTAGTTCTCATAGACCTGACTGTTCCTCCCCTCTTGTTTTGTTTTAGCTGTTTGAGACAAGATCTCTTGTAGCCCAGGCTGGCTGTAATTGAGGATGACCTGGAACTCCTCCTGATTCTCCTGCCTCCACCACTCAAGTTCTGGGAGTACATCTTTTTCCATAATTATTAATTGAGGACACAGTACCCACACACACACCACTACCACAAATTATGAAGCTGAGTTTCCTTGAAGTTGGGTGAATTGCGGAGGCCAGCTCATCAGAGTACAATGGATAAGCCTCAACCTGGGAAAAAAAACACCTTTTCTGATCATGGTACCTTCCCTGCCAGGTAAGTATGCTGTGGTGCTTTGAAAGAAAATGGACCCACTATTAGGATGGCACTATTAGGATGTATGGCCTTGTTAAAGAAAATAGGTGACTGTGGGGGTGGGCTTTGAGACCTCTTTTGCTCAAGCTTCCTTCAGTGTGACAGTTAGTTGATTTCCTGTTGCCTGCAGGATGTAGCACTCTCAGCTCCTGCACCACATCTGCCTGCACACTGCCATGCTCCTTGTCATGATGATAATGGACTGAACCTCTGAAACTGTAAATGAGCCACCCCAATTAAATACTTCTTTATTAAAGTAGCCTGATCATAATGTCCTTTCACAGCAATAAAAATCCTAAGACAGAAATTGGTATTGAAAGGCTAGAGCTGCTGCCTGCTTAGTACCCCTTGACCTCTGTATATGACAATAGCTCATGCCTAAACTCCCAATTTTTGGAGAAAGGAATCCACCCCAAGCTGTGTAAATGCCCCAATGTTAGCTCTTTGTCCTCAGAAGAACAGATAACTGTAACTGCCTGACTGCGAGCACACCTGGAGATAAGGCGATAGAAATTCCAGAAATTCCTCAATCCCCTCCCAAGATAAAAGAGTAGCCAACTTGCAACCCCCATGTCCCTGCTTAACCTTGTTTAACCTTGGCCAACTGTGTGGTTTTTTTTTTTTTTGCCTTTATAAGCTTCCTGCAATAGAGGGTTGGGGGCCTTTTCCCGAAGCTGTTGGGTCAGCTTGCTGGACGAAGTCCTTGCCAAGGCTTGTATCCCATTAAAGGAAACATTGTGTATTTGCATCAGTGAGTGGGCTCCTTTGTGGTCTTTTTGGGGGTCTCACAGACTGGGCATAACAGGTACTAGAGACTAGGGCATTGCTGTGATAGGTTTGGCCATGGTATTGTTTGGAGTAATATGGACTTTGGTACTTTGGGTATGGAAAGCAGTGGAATGCTTTAAGCAATGCTTAATGGGCATTGTAGGAGCATGGATGACACCGGTGCTGAGTTTGATTTGATGCACTGTCCAGGGATGGATAAAGAGGTTTCAGAGGAAAAAATTTTTACCATGTTGCCTAGAAATCATTCTTGTGATATTCTGGTGAAGGAATTGCCTGCCTTTTGCCCTTCTCCAAAGGGTCTACCTGAGGCTAAAGTGAAGAGTTTTGGATTAATTTCGTTGGCAGAAAAAAATCTCAAAACAGCATACTCTAGACTCTGTCATGTGGATATTAGATGTAATTCTAATGAAGATGATTAATGAAAGGGAATAAGCTGAGTGAAGAAAAAAATTTGATGATAATGTACTGAACCTCTGAAACTGCAAGTAAGCTACCCCAATTAAATGTTTTCTTTATAAGATTTGCCATGGTCAGGCCTGGAGAGATGGCTCAGAGGTTAGGAGCACTGGCTGCTCTTCCAGAGGACCTGAGTTCAATTCCCAGCAGCCACATGGTGGCTCACAACACTCTATGATGAGATCTGGTGCCCTCTTCTGGCATGCAGACAGAACACTGTATACATAATAAATAAATAAATCTTTAAAATTTTACATGGTCATGGTGTCTCTTCAAGGCAATAAAAACTAAAACATATTCCTAGTAAATTTTAAATTAATGTCATTGTGGTTTTTCATACATATGAAAAGATGCACCATTTTTGGGGGGGTTCAAGATAGTGTTTCTCTGTAGCTCAGAGCCTGTCCTGGAACTTGCTCTGTAGACCAGGTTGGCCTCAAAACTCACAGAGATCTGCCTGTCTCTGCCTCCAGAGAGATGGGATTAAAGGCATGTGCCGTTACCACCTGGCTAATATGCACATTTAAAAATTTTTGTTTCCCTCCCCATCATGCCCTCTGCCCACATTCTGGCTGGTTCCCTCTCCCTAAACAGTTTTCTTTGCAACTCTTATATCACATATATTTCATTACCCTCCCACTATACATACCATGCTTTCACCCCTCTCATGATTCCCTTTTCTAGTTCTCTCTCTCTCCCTTTCTCTCTCTCTCTCTCTCTCTCTCTCTCTCTCTCTCTCTCTCTCTCTCACACACACACACACACACACAATTTTAAATCTAATTTTTGAATATGAGAGAAAAGATGAAGTCTGTCTTTCTTTATTGTTTGTTTGAGATAGGGTCAGACTGGTCTCAAACTTGGTGTGTATGTAGCCCTGAACTTCTGACCTTCCTGCCTTCACCTGCAACGTGCTGAGATTACAGATCTGTAAGTGAAAGCTCTTAGAAAGAAGCCACACCTGCTGCTGCTGAGCCTTCTGCACAGTTGATGAACTGAGCAGATCGTCAGTGATTGTGGAGACTTCGGAATGTTTGAAGTCCAGAGTCAAAGGATCATGGGCCATCTTTGGCCCTCTTAATAGCCATTTATTGCCTTCCTCTCTAGCTTCCACCAACCACAAGGCTAAGAATATCCTCCAATAGTATCTGAAATCTACAGCAGTGACTTACCTGCTTTGTTTTAACCTGTCCACCTAATATATTCTAGAAGTGCCTTGATTTATGAGTTTTTGTTACCATGAAAGCTTTATGAAACAATTCTTGCATTGAAACATGGAGTTTGGGCCGGGCGTTGGTGGCGCACGCCTTTAATCCCAGCACTCGGGAGGCAGAGGCAGGCGGATCTCTGTGAGTTCGAGGCCAGCCTGGTCTACAAAGTGAGTTCCAGGACAGCTTCCAAAGCCACAGAGAAACCCTGTCTCGAAAAACCAAAAAAAAAAAAAAAAAGAAACATGGAGTTTGGGTAACCTAAATTCATGTTCCCAGGCCATGGTCACTCATATATGGATCCGAAATAAACTATCTTGTATATCCTTTAAGGTGAGTGTTGTGCTTTTTCTTAGACGATACTCTGGTTTGTGTGGTTCTGAGGACTGAACCCAAGATTTTGTGTATGCTAACCAAGTACTCTACCCACTGAGACACTGAGACACATCTCCAGCCCCAGATATTTGTCTTTTTTCAATTTGACTTGTTTTGCTTAATGGGTTTTAGTTCCATCCATTTCCTACAATTTTTTTGAGACAGGGTTTCTCTGTGTAACAGGCCTGGCTGTCCTCAAACTAGCTCTGTAGATCAGGCTGACCTCCAACTCATAAAGATCCACTTGCCTCTGTCTCCTGAGTGCTGGGATTAGAGGTGTGCGCCACTGCTGCCTGGCCTTCCTCCAAATATTATTAATTCCATTTTCTTTGTGACTGCATAAAAGCCCAGTGTGGCCCCACCAGTTTACGGTGTTACCAGCCGTTGATAACAGCATCCCTTTCCTCACATTCTCACCAGGAGTTGATAGCAGGGTTCCTTTCCTCACATTCTCATCAGCATTTGTTGTCTTTGGATTTCTTGATGAAAGCCTTTGTGAGTGTGGTGAGATGGAATCTCAACACTCTTAATTTTCAGGACAGTAAAGGATGCTGAATACTTTTGTAGTATTCAATAGCCATTTGTACTTCTTCCTTTACAAACTGTGTATGTGTTTCTTTTTAAAGGTCTCCTACCTGCTATCACTGCACCCTATTGATTAATTCCTCTGCTGTTCCAAAGATTATATTTGAAAAAAAATTAGGTCTCGGGAGATGGCTCAGCTCAACAGGTAAAGGCACTTGCTGCCGAGCCCAATGACCTGAGTTTGATCCCCAGGAACCACACTGTAGGAGAGAACCAAACTCTATAAGTTGTCTTCTGGGTTTTTGTTTTGTTTTGTTTTGTTTTTGTTTTTTGAGACAGGATTTCTCTGTATTGTTTTGGAGGCTGTCCTGGAACTGGCTCTGTAGACCAGGCTGGCCTCGAACTCATAGAGATCCACCTGCCTCTGCCTCCTGAGTGCTGGGATTAAAGGCATGTGCCACCAATGCCTGGCTCTAAGGTGTCTTCTGATATTGGCATGTGAGCGGTAACATGTTCCCCCTCCACAATAAATAATAAATGTAAATAAAATGTACAAAAATAGATAAAAAGATTTATTTAATGCTATTTTACGTGTATGAGTGTTTTGCCTGCATGAATGTATATGCACTACCTGCATGCCTGGTTCCTAAAGAGGCCAGAAGAGAGTTCAGATCCTCTGGGACTAGAGTCATGGATGGATGGTTGTGAGCCACCATGTGGGTGCTGCATTTTTTTTGAGACAAGATCTCACTATGGAACCCTGACTGGCCTAGAATTCTCTATGTAGACCAGGCTGGCCTTCAACTTTCAGAAATTTTCCTGCCCCTGCCTCCCAGATGCTAGATTCCAGGTGTAAGATCTCTATGCCTTATATTGACATATTTTCCTCTAGCACTTTCAAAGTTTCAGGTCTTACACCTTACACCCAAGTCTTTGATGCATTCTGAATTTATTTTTATTACCTTTATTTATTTACTGAGTATGAGTGAGGTGAGTGTGTGAGTGTGAGTGTGTGTGTGTGTATGTGTGTATGTGTGTGTGTGTGTGTGTAGGGGCATGTGCCATGGTACTCAAGTGGAGACCAGATAACAAATTACAGGAACTAGTTCTTTCCTTCCACCATGTGGGTTCCAAGGATCAAATTCAGGCCATCAGACCTGCCTCTGCCTCCTGAGTGCTGGGATTAAAGGTGTGAACCACCACAGCACAGTTGAAAAGACACTTTGAAGAAAACAAAAAGTCACTTGTGTTGTTGTTCTCCTAACTCCAAAGAGCCCATTTTGGAGATACATGTCTCCTGCCCAGGCAGATAGAGAGAATTAAACCTAGGTCTTAGTCTTGACACCTAGTCCCAGGCCCTAGTGACATCTAGTACTGGGTAAATGCTCTTCATTACTATAGTCTGAGCCACTGGAACTGAGAAAAGCAAGCTTAGAGGATGTTTTAGTAACATGGGACTCTACTTCGTCTAGGATTTTCACACCCTCCTTCTAATAATGCTCTTGGCGGCCTAGCTCCCTCACATGCACAAACTATAGACACACACCCCACTCTGAACAATGCACTTAGTAACCTGTTGCAATCCAAGACCCCCACTGCATCTAGCTGTATACTCC